CCAGAGGCCACTTTTAAACTAAGGACCAACCATCTTTGGTTTTCAGTATCTCAGCGTGGTCCCAAATTAGTAAACAAGGAGAATCCTCAGTGAAGATTTCGACACCACCCCTTGCTGAGACATAGATGTAGTCTAGTCTTCGATTGATTTCCAGTGTGATCCTAGGTTCAGATTAGAACTATACACACCTGCACAAGGCAAAGATGTGTAAAGAGGCATAACAATAGAAAACAGGCTCATTGAGCCTGTTCAGGCCAGCTGTGCTGGGCAAGCACAGGTGGCTGCCTTCTTGCTTACCATGGAGCATAAAACTCCACCAGGATTATGTCAGCACCATTCACGACATCGTCAAAATTATCCTGGGTCAATACCAGAGTAGCTTCGGGTGGAGGGGTCCAATTGGGGTCAGAAACCTCCTTCACTTTGGCCACAATTGCTGAAATACAGTTCAAGAACCCTATTAGCAAGTGTGCATTACCATAGCACTAGCATGTCAAATGCAAGAGATGATAACAAGAATTTAAAATTAGAGAGGCATGCAGCCAGTTGAGAAAACAGGAAAATTTCAGCTTTCATAGCATTATTCTGCTTAAGATAAGGTAACTTGAGATTAAAGCCCTTCAAAATAGTCACGTCTTAAAAAGCAAGATCATACACTACTTTGCTTTCTTACAGAGACCTGCAAAGGGCTGGTGCTTACCATCTTCAGTCCTAGAACCATCATAGTCCACAGGCTGGCCTTTTTTCAGGATTTTGATGGTTGGGTAGCCACTGACATCGAAACGACTTGCTAGTGAAGTGGCTGCCGTAGCATCTATTTTGGCAACAGGAATAGGAGGGTCGTTTTCCTTCAGAGTTTTGGCTATTTTTTCATACTCAGGAGCAAACTGCTTGCAGTGCCCGCACCTGTCAGAGGAAGACACACATAGATACATAAATGCACAACAGACTCGCAGAGGTTATTTTGCTGCTCTGCGTTTCCAGGATGCCTTCTGACAGATGTTCACATCATCAGCACAGAAATGTCTGTCTTGCTGTGTGTTCAGATCATGGAGAGATAAAGCTTATGTTCAAATTAAGTAACAAATTAGGTAACTATAGCTAATTTGTTCACTTCCCAAGGTTGGGTTTTTTTCCTAATTTTCATTCAACATGCAATGTATTTCCCTATGCTTTATAAAGCCATTGTAAAAAAATTCAGCAAGTGCTTTCACAACAAAACTGTAAACCTTGTACCGTGCTCCTCCTTCCTTCCCGCCCCTACAAATACGATCCCAATTCAACTTCAGCTTCTCCCTAATCTAGGTTTATCTTCTCTACCTAGCACCCTAAATTGAACTAAAGAGAAAAATGAACCAGTAGGCAAGCTGGCCTAATGAAATCTCACACCCACCATGGTATCACAGCACCTGCTCCCTCTCTGGCCACAGCAGAACTCTCTGGGAAGAACAGAGGCCCTGGTTGCAAAAGCTGGCATCACAAAGGATACCAGCATAAGAAAAGCCAAATATAGCTTGACAAGCTGAACATGAAACCAGGAAAACATAGGGGGGAAAAAAAGAGGAAATATGTGGCAGATAGCCTGTGCTCCTTAGCCTCTCAACTGGCAGAATGGGGAGCAGAAAAAAGGAGAGGTGTTTAGTCTATGACAACACACATCCTTCTGCTCAGATAAATTAAGCTTCATGTTAATTTCCATGCAGGCAAGCTACAGCTGCAGGATTAGTACCTACAGACAAGGAGGGATGAGATTCTCTGTAACAAGGATGGCACTAGTTAAAATGCAACTCCACCTCAAGATCACATTCACTCTTCTTTTCAAAGACTGGAAAAGGAGCTACAAGTAAGTCATCTTTGTATCACTAAACCACAATAGAAAAGAGGTTCTGGCTGCAACACTAACTCAGCAACTCGACTAAAAATATTTCCTACTCTTGTTTTCCCCCAGCAACCATCCCTATTATTTTTGTCCATAAGAATGCAAGAGAAGGTATGTTTTGGCCTGAATTCTTTGTCTCAGTTATATGAAGGTAAGTCGACTGTATCTCCCCTGAGCAGACTAGTGGTCCTGGGATGCCAGCAAAACTATCATCATTAGGTAGATGTATGAGCCACTGCTGAAACTGATAATACAAATATGTCCTTAATCACACCACACCCTTCTGGCAAGGACAAAAAGGTGAATTTGAAAAGAAAAATCTTCTAGTAATTCCACTACTAGGGAAGTCTCCATTTAGATGAGGAAGTGCACAAGTTCCCAGTGGTCCAGCACAAGGGCAATAGCAGGCTGCGAGACCACACTGCACGATTTTTCTGGGGCTCACTGGGACCATTTCTGTTCCTTGACAGGCACAAAGCAGGGAGGACCAAGGCTGCCCTTTCCTTGCCATGGGTTCCTTCAGCATGGCCCACATCTGTGGAGAAGGAATGGGCTGTTGGCTATTACATGGTATAGGGAAAGGGAAAAGGCTTCCTCCCTGCCACCAGAACCATCTCCTTCCCTGGACTACAGTAGAGTTCTGTGCATCTCCTACAGGCAAACTGCTCCCATGTCATCTTTACAATTGCAACCCAAGTTCACTATTTAGGAGTGTGTCCTGGCAGAGAAGACCTCGACAGCCATCTCATCCTGGACATGAGGAGATACCACTGTGAACCAACCATGGTGCGTAGAACTCCAGCAGCACGGTATCCTTGTCCGCAGTAAAGGTGTCAAAGTTTGCATCATTCAAGACTAAGACACCATTTTCTTCTTTAACTACAGAATCATCATCATCTTCATCATCATCTTCATCATCATCATCCCCGTCATCATCAGCTTCTTTTGTAACAGACTCTGGAAAAGCAAAAATGCGATAGATATTAGATTGTGTCAAGTTTGATACTGAAGTTAACAGTACCAGGTTAAAGATGGATCTCCTCTGGTTAAAAAAAAGTATATACACAGGTTTCTGCTCCACGTACACTGACAGCTATCTCAGTTCGCAAAGAGCTTGGACTCAGATGTTGGACTGTTTAATTTTTGTCCACACTACACCAGCCAACAATATCAATATTTCAATGAAGTGTCAACATCTATTTCCAATTCCAGGGCAAACTAACAACAAGAAATAATACACACAGATCTACATAACAGTTGCCACCAAGGTACACTGGATATATTGTTGAAATGTGGGGAAGCAAGACATGTTTCATTGGGCAAGAAGGGTACAGAAATGACACCTGAATTCAAACAGAAGCCCTTCATCATGCAGTTGAACAGCTGCCACAAACCCAAATGTTACAACTTCGCTAGTAACAAGGTGGTTTGGAGGCAGCACTTGAAAATGAAGCTTCTCTTCTGACTGCTCCATCCCACCTCTGCCACCTCAATATATCTTGCTTTCAATTACAGCCACGTTTCAGGTCTGCAATTCATTGAGGAGTCTTTCCACTCACAGAAGCATCAATCACTCTGCTCTGGATCAGCACCAGGCTGCACTGAGTATAAAATCAAGTAAGTGACTGTTTCAGGAGTCCCATGAACACCCACTCCTATGCACCTGGCAGATGCAAGGTACTCTCCTAAAAGAAAAATGCAGTGAAAGCTTCTTTCAAACAACTTTTGGGGAGGCCTTTGATTTAAGGAGACCAAAACTGCTGGTCCAGAACGGGCCTTTCAAGAAGAAAGCAGATTTGTTCAATTACCAAAGCAAAATTAGCCCGTGAAAGCTGAAGCCAGGACATTTCAACTGGTTCATTCTTTGTTGGCTTGGAATTTGAGATGGTTTCTTTAATATTCAACCTTTCACATGTTCCTTTAAACTTTTTTTTTTTTTTTTTTAGCTGCTATCTTTCAAGGCAACCAGACCCTCCTGAAGGCTTTTAAGGAATTTCAGTTACAGAACAAGTAATGATAATACCTCATCCCAAATGAAAACTGTAAAACAACGAGGCTAAGGCCCTGTTGACCACTGGGAATCACAGGAGCATAACGAGGTTAAAAAAAAAAAGGAAAAAAAAAAAAAAGAATTTAGGTTTCTTGGTCAAAACAATTTTTTCTATATTACTTTAACTGGCTTTTGACTAAGCTGACAGGGGTTAGTGCAGCAGTATTTGGAAAATACTCTGATTTCACCTGGAATTTGAAAATTAAGAATGATAAATGTGTACAATCCAGGTATGAAAAAGTGAACAAAACAAATCCCACTTTTCTCAGGTTGACAGCAGACCACGGGAACAATCTTGCCAAGGATAAAACTATGCCACTAGATTGCAATAGCTATTTTTATGTTAGAAGAAAGCATGCAAAAATAAGTCGATGTGCCCTCAGAAAACAGCATGGGCTTGGAGAAATTATGTTCATTTTAATTAGAAATCAACTTTACATACCACGAAATTATTAAAGCTTCTGATGAGGGGAGAGATCACAGGAGATCATTTATCACACAACAGTAGTCACCTGGATTAGGTTTCTTTAACAGCTATTCCTGTTTCATCTGATCTTTGAAGCAGCTAAAAGCACTTTTTTGCCAGCAGACAATGCCTCCTGTGTTGCAGCACTTGCTCACCCTTGAGGGAAGTCCCATACCTACAGGACTGCCCTGGTGAAACAGCTGGTTTTCAGGGGGCTTCAGCAGGCAAAACTTCTGCCTTACGTGGGTGCCCAGCATCCTTGAGGGCTATGTTTCACCACAGGGTGTTCCTGGTCGGTCTGTGCATGAATTTCCTGCGAGTTGTGCAATGCCATTGCTTTTCCGTGCAAATTGCTTCAGACTTGGGGTTTTCCTGACACAAAGGAATTTGAGCGAAACTAGCTGGCCGATTCTGCTCGTGCATCTCAAACTGACCACCAGGTTGTGACCCTCATTCCTGCTTACTACGCTAGCTACCTGCCCCCAACAGAGGCAAAGGCCACTGCAGCTACTGTGGCACAGGCTCATGGTTTAGAAAACCAAAAACAAAGCATCACCTGCAAAAACATCCTGCACAAGTGGGAAATGTAACCTTTAGATCCAACATCCATCCCTGAAATCATCTGGTATCTTTCCCTGCCAGTGGCTGTATAGCCTGCCAACATAAAACTTCCTTGACAGTGGCACCTTGTCATGGGCATTATACACACCCATTTCCTCCTCCTGGAGATGGAGGCAGGACAATAGCAGTGTAACAGCAGGACTCCACCTTTTCCCACGTGGGAGGAGGACATGCTTTAAAAGAAAAAAGATAACCACACCTATGAATTGGTCCTTAAGTGTGCAAACTCCATCATAGCTGCCTCTAACACCTCCTTTACTGTTGGGACTGAAGTAACTGTTTCACGGACCTGGTCAGGCATGGGAGCAGCAAGCAGGACTTCTTTTCTTCAAGAGCAAGAAACTTTCCTCTGCATTAATGATTTACAATTTAAAGAGAACAGACACAGAATGAGTCTTACTGAGACACCTGAAATACTGGAAGTAGCTAATAAATACTTGCATAAGACAGCTTATGAAAATAAAACAGCTGCCCCCAAACTGAAGTGTCTTTGTTTCTTAAGGATACTTGGAAAGCATGTGGACAAGCCAACATGTGGCATCTGTGGCTAAAACCTGCCCTCCACTAAAATATGGATCACTCCCTTTTACTCCAAAATATCACTTCCACAAATGTCAACACATTACTACACAAGTCAAAAAAACATGGTGAAAACAGTACTTATTTTAAGACTTGAAGTACATGATGCTGGCTGGCAGACCTTCTTCAGGATGACAATTACTCTAAGTGAAATTAATTCCTCCAGTAACTTCACTGTACACTCAGCATCTATCAGAAATCTGGCCTAATAACTTTTTCTTAAGAAAAGTAAATCCCACACAAATAAAGCTGCATCCAGACATCAACAACTTCAGGATTCTGCCTGAAAGTTTTCTTCTGAGGAGCGCAGTTCCCCAATTGGATGAGCTCAGTTTTCAGAATCCCAGAAGTCAAGACTCATAACCTGTTGCTAGGGCACTCAAAAACGCTTTCAAAAAAATCAGTCCTCCTTAAGCTTTTCTGTAATGGATCCTCTACATGATTCCTCCTTTTCCTTCAGCAGGATGCTAAGGGTGTAATAGTCACGATCCAGGCTAACCTTACTTTGAGCATATTTGCCTCACTGTCGTAGTTGAACTTCACCTCCCAATATATTTGCTGTACAAGAAGCCAGGTTTAATCTGTACTTTTCATCTCCTGCACATTCAATGTACATAAAATCACTTGCTTGTTGCAAAGAAAACTTATTCCACTTCATACACATCTGCATTCCGAGGGCAAAAATGGAAATGCCCAACTACGTGCATTTTTAATGCAAAGGCTTTGAAAAGCCTATTCATGACCTATATACAATTTTTAGATAGACAACAGAAACTGATAAACGATTCAAGTTGTGCGGTGGATTAGCGTTCGGCTTCCACAGAGCAGGAAAGACTTCCATCACCCTGTACCTTTGATCCAGAGAACTCCTATAATGAGAAGAACAGCACGTGTGGGAAATACTGATGAGAGCCTGAGCGTGGCCCACAGGAAGCCGAACTACTGCTGTCAGCCACAGGTAACACTGTAACACCACAGGTCCTACTTCATCCCATGAAGGCAGCAGGGAAAACCAGTGCTCGGCTTTGTCACATGCCACAAAGCGAGAATAATTCAGTGTTCTAGCTAAAAGCAGAGAAATAGACATAATACTTGTGTTTCAGTTTGCAACTGAAAAAAAAAAAAAATGTGCTTCACAGGAAGATTTTGTATCTCCATTTCCTTTCTGCAGATGCCATATCCTTTAAAACAAGTTTCTTGACCCTCATCCTACATACAGTTAATTACACAGATAAGGTAACTGATTTATATGTACTTCTTCCAGTTTTAGTGCCTGTTCAGTGAGCAAGAATTTGCAGGACCTGAGTTCAGGTCATCCATAATCCAGTCTCCCTGAACGCCCTCTAATACTTAACATACAGGAAATATGAAGGATGCAGGATTTACCAAAATCCACATGAAAGAAACTTTAAACTAAAAAAATAAAACCTTCAAACGCCTGCCTCCTACGTTCAGGCACGTACTAAACTCAATAAGCCTGAGCAGCTTTGTTTCAGCTAATTTTGGAAGAGGAGACACGCGTCAGTGAAATTCAAAGACAACGGGAAGAAACACCAAGCAACTGGCAACACTGGGCCTTCCTCCTGTGAAAAAAAAACACAACCCCATCAGTCTGAAACACGCAGAACGCACAGATCCCCCGAACACAGGGGTAAGGAAAAGAGTGCTCAGCCACAGAATCACAGGATGGTAAGGGTTAGAAAGAACTTTAAAGATCATCTAGTCCCAACCCCCCCGCCGTGGGCAGGGGCATCTTCCACTAGACCACAAAGTGGCCTTGAACTCTGCCAAGGATGAGGCATCCACAACTTCACTGGGAAACCTCTTCCAGTGTCTCACCACCCTCACAGTAAAGAATTTCTTCCTAATATCTAACCTAGATTTCCCTTCTTTTCAATTTGTACTCATTACTCCCTCTCCTATCACTACAGACAAAGAGTCCACCTCCGGATAACGAAATCGCAACGAGTCGGATACGGAATAACGAGTCGAAACAATGAAACCGCAAATTTCCCGGCGATTTAAAAGGCAGGGATTCCCAACATGGCTAATCATTAGGTGGCTGTTAACTCCGTGCTTGGAGGAGGTGGGGCACAGCCGCCCCACGGCGCTGGGACAAGCGGCTCGCCCAGACCTCAGCGCCTTCCTGTGGGGGTTCAGCGCCCTCCCCAGAGGCCTGGAGGACCACCCCGGCCCCAGTGGGGACCCTCCATCCCGGGCTCCCCGCAGCGCTCAGCGCCGGGGCCGCGCCCCCGCCTCCCGCGGGGGGACCCAGGACGCGCCGCCGGCCCGGCCACGGCCCCGGCCCGCGCTCACCTCCGTCGCCGTCCTCCTCCTCCTCCTGGGCGGCCGCGCCCCGCGCCACGAGGGCGATGTGAGCCAGCCCGAGCAGCAGCACCAGCACCCAGAGCCTGCGCACCCTCATCCTGATCCCGATCCCGATCCCTATCCCGATCCCGATCCCTATCCCGCCGCCGCTCCGGGCCCGCTCCCGTCCGCTCCCTGCGCCCCGTAGGCCCCGCCCCTCGGGCACGCCGCGCACGTTGATTGGCTGTCGCCCCGCCACGCGCTCCGCGTGGCCGCCAATCGCCGGACGTCACGAGGGGCACCGGCGCGGGGTGCGTGGGTCTCGCGGGACTGGCGGGGCGCCCCGGGGGACGCGCGGTAGCCGCGGGTGGGGGTCACAGGCAGGACCGGTCGGAGCGGCGGCGGAGAAGCGCCCGCAGCGCCGCGCCTTAGAACCGCCCGGGCGCTCTGAGGTGCCGCCCCGCCATTGGCCGCCGCCGCGCCGCCAACCGCGGACCGCCACGCGGGGAGCGTGCGGGCGCTCCGGAGGCGGAGGCGGGCGGGATGCGGAGGCCTCGCCCCCCGAGCGCAGGGAGCCACATCGCCCTTCGGGATTGGCGGGCTGGCGCCGAGGGGCGGGGCCAGAGGGCAGCGGCAGCCTATGGAGGCGCGCCGCGTGCGGCGGGGCGGGGCTTCTCCCGTGAGGGGGCGGGGGCACCCTGAAGGCTGCGGTGGGGCTGCTCAGATAATTCTTGCATTCCTAAATACTTAAAGTCGAATTTAAGTAACTTATTGCCGTGTTCGACTGTGACGGCACTGCCGCCGTCCGGAGGCTACTCTAGGGGTCGGGGTTTTCTGGCACAGCGAGCACATCGGTAGCGCCGTAATGGCACGGGAAAGGTGCCACAGTATAATTAATTTCTGGCAATGGTTGTCCAAACGCTTTTTCTGGTGGACATCTAAGATTTAACTAGGCGGTGCTAAAACCTGGAGTTTTGGTGCTCGAATTGCCTGTCCGGGCCCGTGCTTGGGCAAATCACAGCTGCTCATTGGGTCAATGAACAATTCCTTCGTGTTTTACAGAACTTCTGACTCTCAAAGGGGTAGTTTGTAAGGAGTGTGATAAGCAAATGTCTCCGAGGTCTAATGAAGCGCAAGCTTAAAATACAAATCCCACAATTTTAGGGGACACAGAAGACACTGTGTTGCTCTGAAAGAATATTGATGCATCTAGATTGCCATTTGGCATTTGTAAGTGGGTTTGAAAAGTTTGTAAGGGTTGGAAAAACACATTAAAGACCTGCAGTATTCTACATTGCAAAGTTGTAGCCTGGGATTCACTGCCTTTCCTCAGCTCGACTGCCAAGCAAGTTATTTTGAAAATACACTGGCTGATACAGTAGCAGTTCTTCAACTTACCTGTCCTGATCTGAACAAAGTTAAAGCTGTCTGCATCTTGTCAAGATTCTGATCCTGATCCTGCCTGGTTTTGGTATAACTATAAATATTAGTTTGATTAGCACAGATATTCAGTAATTTGATGATAGCACACAACCAGATTGGACACTAAGTGTTCTGAATGGGAAAAATTAAAGAGTATGGAAGGTTTTTATTCAGAGTCT